CAACAAATTTAGAGGCTGGAATATAACTTATGGCACTACAGTTAAAAACAAGACGTTGATAATATGGATTCTTCATATGAGGTTGTTGTTAGCTTAGTAACATTCATAATTATGTGGCAACGGTAATCATAACCAATAAGTGCCAAATTAATGTTGAACTGTGGTATTTGCATAAGATAATTATTCTTTCGTACTTGAAGACTCATTTATAACGAATTTCGAATATAACACGTTCATTGATGATCATCTAGTTCTACTTTCTTGTGGTGTTTGAACTGATGATTCTTTTGTGCTTGATGTTATTTGAAGCTATTAAATATATTTAATGCTAAAAACAGTTTCGAGAGTGGTTTATATGAAACATATATGGCTAGTATAAGTAAAAATATAATCATGTTAACAATTATTACAAACACAGTAAATCGTTTGGGGAAAGAGTGAAAGTTTCCTGGATTATTTATGGAATTCAGATTATCCAGTAGATTTGACAGAAAAAGCCATTTGTGGCAAGTAATGCGAATAAAAATGAACCAAATTAAAGGACCTGTATTGTAACTAGTTTTTGGGTGTGAGCGACGCTGTTGACTTTGCCACTCGGTTGGTTCAGTCCGAATCTAAACAGTCGTGACAAATAAGTGGAACCCATAGAATGAACAATTTGAAATGAGCCTAGGGTTACAGAAACTGTAATGGTCGAAAGATACTAAGAGATAATCCATAGTTCAAAACAAAGGTAAATGTTTATTTAAGAAGCAATGTAAAAAATTAGATCCGGATAACCATTCAGTCCTTGCTTACGTTAATTGCCAGCCTATGCGTACTTACGCCGATTAAGCTATGTATTTGCTAGTGACTGGTTTCTTAACAAACCTATTTTACTGAAGTAAGTGCTACTAAAATATGTTAACGAATCATTATAGCTAATCATTACTATAGTTGAACAGTTATTCGACCCCTATTGACTTTTCCCAGGATTAGTTCTGAAATCCCCGATAGTGAATGTTTTAAGCAAGTAGTCAAGGGTCAAAAATATTCGGCCTCTCCACGCCTCAGCATTGAGTTCAATCAAACAGAACCTTACAGTAAATGGTCTGGCATTATAAAACAACAAATTGAAATAATAATGATAAATCTTAAACAAAGTTGGATAATGAGAAGTATGGAACACGGTTGCAAAAGTTCTGAGTAAAGCTTGAGATAAAAGACAGAGCAAAGGAATGGAGAAGTGACAAACACTTTGGGGAAGTTTCAGGGTTTTATTTCATTTACAGGTAGTTCATTCTGAGTTAAGACACTTGACTTCGGTAGTGACTCAATGAAATCGGCACCAGTGAATAATATTACAGCAAAACCAGGTAATAATTATGATGACAGAGAAGAAATATTCAATCACGTTTCAGAATCCCAAGCTCCCAACTTTCAGGAACCTCCCCAAAGTCAGGGGAAATTTCGGGGTTTTTGTGCCATTTCCCCAAAGTTTACTATAGCGGCTTCCCCAAAATTTCCCTAAAATAGGTAAAATTTCCCCCAAAATTGAGGGATTGGGATACTAACACTGCGCAAAGTGATCTTTTCTAAAATCTAGAGGGAAGTCACCGAGTTCCGGTAAATTTATAGATATTACGTTGTCATTTATTTCACACTTGTTGTCTATTATTTTTTTCATCTTGTCAGTGCATGGACTTAGATTTACAGTGTCATTAAAAGCATGAAATCTGTTTCCAACCCTAGTGGCAGGTGTTAGACTTAATGTGTTCAGCGCTTCTAACTTATTATGCAAAAATACCTCGGCGAGACTCTAATTTATGGACGAGCCAATCAGAAGCGTTTTAGAGATTTCAAGGTTACAGCTCCAACTTCAGTACTTAATGCTAACGCACGACGGGTTCACAAGGAGTTTTGTGCAAAACGTATTATTTAGCGGCTATAACAAATAAAATGGCAGGACTTTAATTTGCGGACGAAGCAACCACGTATAAGATAACAGATTTCGGATTTTGGTGCGAAAGTCTTTCATCCATTTGGCTAAGTAGATTTCCGGCATTATAGCTGATATCAGTTCGTGATGAAAACCCTATTTATAATTCCTAACTAAGGCAAATTATGACAATTATCGCGAACTCGATAATAAAAGCACCAGTAACACCTGCTGTAGCTAGGTGCTACAATATATACGGATAATTGGAGCGTACAGATTCTCACGTAGGCTTGGTTATGTGTGGCGTGTCGTTATCCACAAGTAGCATTTTGTGCACTCAACAACCGGAGTGCACATAAACAATATTGAAACTATGTGGTCGAGGCTGAAAGTTTGTGAGACTTTATCATGGCTCCAGAGGCCGACTGATCTGTAGCCATATAGATGGTTTTATCTACAGCATGCATTACAATTTTAGAACCTCTGAACCTCTTTCTAACCTCGACAAGTTTTTGAACCACGTACAAGAAGTGTATCTACTTTATTTCCTTGGTTTTGTATAATATATCTTTACTCTATACTCACTGTTTTCTGATTGGCTAACATTCTCAAGGTCACTTGAAATTCGTTCAAAGGTCGTTCATAAATTAGAGTCTCGCCCCAACAAAAAGGAAAGTTTTCTGTTTGTGTATCAGACTACTGTTTTCAGTACTATGTTTTAAAACTACACACAGTCTTATACTTTCAGCTTCTTTTTAAACCAAATCCATTTATGCAGTTCTTTATCCACCCATAGCTTATTTACGCTTTTCTTTAATCTTTTAGAATGCTCTTGCTTAAAAAAGTACTTTAATAGAAGAGGATTAGACAAACTACTCTCATTTTCAGCCCTCTCGAGAGATGCCGCCGAAAACACATATGGAACGTGTGACTTTGCGTTGTACCATCATCGAAGCCTCATATATTCCAGAGGAATATAAGGTCACAATCTCCAGAAACTCCTAACTTTACGTGGATTTACTCTCGACCATCAGTTGCCTATCGTAACACAACATCCATAAAGCGCGCAAACTGTCATACTGACAATACGAGTCTTAATAATATTGTTTACATTCATATGTGAGAAGTGTTATTCTTCGTAATTGCATATCCATATCTAAAATTTTACGATTTTTCATCGTCTTCTGGTTATCAGTTTTTGTCTTTGCGTAATGTGGTTCAACAAAGAGGTTCGTGCCCCACTCTGTAAGAGCAGAATGGCAGATATTTAGGTTACTGGGCACCGACGAGACAGAATCTCAACATGGGGGAGCTCGAAACATTTGTGCCTCAACCCTCAGCAAGTCCAGAAGGTTGTAACAAGAAAAGCGTATATAGGAGTCTATAGAATACCGTAAACGCTCATACTCGTACATTAAGCAAGGGACTAAGAGAAGAGGAGATATTCCAGCACTATGAGGAGATAGTAGTACTGCATCATTAGTGAAGGAAGATTGTGGTGGAGCTCAATTATTCTCGAATTAACGTAGAGATGACTCCCACTTCAGCTCATGCAACCCCGCACACACTGTGGAAACTGTGACCATTAAATAAATCGATGTACTAGGTCTGCTAAATGGGCTTGATATAGACAAATCCATGGGAGTTGATGAGATGCATAATAGATTACTGGAGGAATCAGGAAATTTTGTCGCAAATCTGTTAAGCATGTGTTTTAATCTATCCGCAACCCAAGTTAGATTGCCAAACGACTGGAAGATTGTCATAGTAAGTTTTATCTTTGAATCAGACACGAGACACAAACCTGATAACTAGTGACCCGTACGTCTAACTAATGTGGTTGTTAAAACTATAGAAAATACCATCCGAGAGTAGTTGTCTAAGAATCACTACGAAATCTGGATTCTTTCTGAAAAGCAGCATGGATTTAGAATAGGTTATTCGTGTCTCACAAACTTATTAGTAGCCCGTGAAAGTTGATGGGCTCTTAAAGATCAAAAGCTATCTGTAGATGTAGCCTACATTGACTTCAGTAAGGCCTTTGGCAAAGTTCCTTATAACCGGCTGTTGTCTGAGTCAACTGATTTTGAAGTCATCCAGGCACATGTTCCATAAATCTTAATGTCAAACATTCCGATCAGCGTGAGAATTAGGAAATTATGTTTATCGGTAGTAGAGTATATAAATGAAAAGGGACACAGGATTGACATCAATGCGGCTTTTAAAACGTCGTATAAAAATTGCCAAGGATTAATTCTCGGGTTTATAGAGCCTTGGCCATTTGTCAACTTAGACCTCCTTTATGTGTATAGAAGCATTTCGTCGCATTTTTCAGATAAACTCCGTCTTCTCATTATTCTATCGAATATGATACATGTTGTCCAGACACACAATGACCTGGGACTAATAGTCAGCCAAGAGCCGAAACCTACTACATGCTGCAATTTGACATCCACCAAATGTCTTATCACCCTATGGTCAATATGTTGAGTCTTTAGCCATGCTGACGCTAAGACCTTTATGACTTTGTACACAGTATCGTTCGTCATAAACTGGAGTACTGCGTACAAACGGCTGATCCCTTCGTAAAAACAGACACTGAGCCGTTCAAAACGGTTCAGCAAATCGCAACTAAGTCGATTCCCGGAATAGCGAAACTTGACTGGTTAAACTAAACCTACTTCAATTGTCGTACATAAGAGTCAGAGGCGACGTGGTCGGTTTTCAAATTACTTGGTGATAAATTTGCATCCAACATACCCTTATTTTTCCTGTCTTACAAAACAAAGAATTTACAGGGACACTCTAAAATGGTTCATAAGTCTATGCCAAATTATTTGTCAACTGACTAGCTACTTTATCATCTAATAATCGACGAATGGAACTTACCAGTTTAAGACGTAATTAGGGCTCTATCTGTCGACAATTTCAAAAGAAAATTAGAGCAATTGAGAGAAAGCCATTGCCAAGACTAAAATAGGCCGCTTGATCTTTTGTCTTTTTAAAGTGAAACTGAAATCAGCTTTAGTTCAATATTTGTTTTTTCGTATCACTTTTCAACAGTAACTGATTGACATTCAGTTATGAAACTAGAGTCTCTTGTATTACTTATTCCGGTCATGTAAATGAATATATGTACTTGTATCACTACGAATATTTCAAAAATGGGGATGGAATATTTTAAGTTGCTTCATAATTACTCAAAACCTTACTATGATTTCAACATCAGTGAAACTACAAGGACAGAGTTATTCTTGTGATAAAAAGGGGTTTTTAATTCCGTCGTATAAATTATGCAGCATGAAAGCAATGCCAGTAATGTGGAACATCTAAAAACGTTTGATGTGAGCTCTTCAGAAATGAGATCAGCTAGCATGCATGAAATTGTAAACAGTTGTTCTTCTATTCAGAGTGATCGAATTACAAGATATGCAAGCCCGAATCGGTTTGATATTCGTGATGCCCCAAGAAGTTTTTTAGATTCTTACAGGGCTTACAGGTATGGATACACACAATATTTCCATGAACTATTGTTTTAGGTATCCACAAAACCACGGGGTTAATTTAAACAGATCGAAACTCCGTTCAACAATGCCAACAAGTTTTTCTTCGTATGCAGTTCCTTCACTGAATGAGGTTACATCTTCCATGTCTACCTCCAAATCTCTTGATATAAATGTCGTCAAGAATCAAGAAGAACTGCCTTTTCAAGGTGGTGATAGATGCTGTGATAAATATATATCATCCGTACGTGCCAAAGAAGTGTCTACTAGAAATCAACCTGTGGGCTATGAGTAAGAAGAGTTTACTTTTTGCGAGTTTTCTGATTGTCTGGTTACACTTTATACATGCATGATGTACAGTTCCGTCACATTATATAGAAGGTTTCCCTAACAATCGGAGTCACATTGTATCTTTGAATACCTTAATATTCTAAGGCATTTGGAAAAATATTGCATGTAGACAAGATATGTAGCAACTTTGAACTGAATTCTGAGAGGAGTATAGTTTCAGATGCTCATTAGATCTTTACATGGTGAATTTTCGTTAGATTAATAACTTTGTATTATTTGTTTCCTTAAACTGGTTTTAATTTAGACTTAGTGGTTTTGGATACATTTTTGTTTAGGTCAGATCTTGCATTGCTTGCAAACGGATAGACAGAAAGAATTTATATCGTGGTTTATATGGCATATATGTCCAGATTAACATAACACCATTTTGCTTTGTCTGTAACTAGACAGATAAAAGTAGTGTCAAAATATCAATCTTTTCAGGTTATCACCATTTATATTATCATGGTCAGATAAGAGTAACGAGAAGAAAAGTAACAAATAAAAATCAGTATTCAAAATAGCATTGCGGAATAAGTAAGAAAAATGCCAACGAAATATAAACTACGGGATAAAATGTTGTTGCATTCAAACTTTGATGATAAAACGTTAATGCATTTGAATTAGTCTGAATTAGTTTTAATCCATGTCACCCAACGTGATGATAAGTCTGAACTATTTTTGACAAACTGATGAGTTGAGAATACAGTAGGATCTTGGATCTGTTCTTAACGTTTGTTAGTTAAAACTAACAGGTTAGCTAGCGTGAAACACATTTAAGGTAAATCCATTTACGTGTCACTTCCAGTGCAGACTAAACATTGTGTTCTAATGGCTGTGTAGTGATTAGAAGCATTAAAATTCGGTATAATAACTAGTGATTCTCGAGACTGCCCAATATGTACTCTGGTGGACCAGCCAGTGGGCCGGCTTGCAAGTCGAAGAGAAAGCAGTGGCCATCCTTGAAGATACTGTGTTTTGAAGTTGAATAGGACTTGGATTGATGTAGTCATCATTATGTAGAAATAGCCCACTATGGCTTGGCTTAAGAGCAAGAAAGCACAAAAGCTTGTGGACCTGACAGAAATATGCACTAGCTCACTGTTGAAGCCCGACTTCAGGTTCATACTGATATTGACATCGACTGTGGTTGACTGTTGGCAAAGTTAGATTAATATAGATGTTGAATCTGTAAAAGGACTCTTAATACATATATGTTTGTTTTAATCAACCTTATACAAAAGTTACAAGGATTAGTTACTAACTAAAAATTAGCCAAGTAATTCTAAAACAGTTTAACTACTGAAAGGAAAATATTTGCTTTTCAGTATGCAAAGCAGTATAATGAGCCATGTGAAATCTCTAGAACACTCCATTTTAAGTCTATTTTTTTTGGAAAATAAACTTGATTATGACATATATGTATGCATATTTTGTTTAATTTAATTGTTTAGTAAAATCTTGGTACTCATGATTGTAAAGTGGATGATTTTTGTGATAGCTTTCACTTTCAGTGGTACTTCCATGGAGAATGCCAGTATCTCATTATCCTTTAGAGCGATCAAAATTACAAAAATTCTGATCATCTTGATAAGCAATAAAAAGTTATCTCATATATCTTGATAAATTTTGATAGTCTCCCACAGTTCAATGAAGCACAGATATGAAATCATCATTTTATGCACACAGAAGAAGGCTTTTGACACTAATACCAATATGTTTGGTCTTATGGGTTTGAATTTCAAGGGAATAAGTATATTTTAACCACAATTAAATATTTTTATAATCTATTAAAGTCAAGTTTTACCATAATAACATATAGTGGCATCATAATTTTTGACACTGAAAGTCATTCTCCTTCTGTCAATTACTTAAGTTCTTTTCAGATTGATCAGTTTTGTTTTGAATGATCTTTCTTTCACAATAAGATGAGGATTTCTTATTGATTACTACTTACTGAATCATTTATCGGGTGACTGACATGTTTTACTGATGTAGAATCGCTTAATCTTGTTAATATGTAGAAACAATAATAGAACAGGCTCCTTTAAGAGGGAGTTTTGAGTTCACAAATATTTATTTATGACGGTAAGCTAAAAGTCAGCTAATTGTAGGATTTACAACTTGAAGTTAAAAAGAAACGCAGTCAAGCGAAACAGAAGTGTGAGGAGTCATCAATTTACTCACTTGAACTCTAAGTGTTCAGATCTTAATAAACGATCAACTTGATACTCTTGATAATTTAAGTACAAAGGTAAATAACCTACGATATTAATCAGCTTAAAATTCTTCATGTTGACAAATAATGTTGATTAACAAAGTTGCTTTGACTAGGTTCACATCATTATTACGATGATATTTCAATAACAGATACTGATATCTAACAAACTATTTGTTTGATAAAAGTTCAAAATCTGGATTTCATCCGGTTTTCGGTTGTTTGATACGGAATCACTATATAACCGAAAAAAAGAACTACTGACTAATATACTTTGTGTATCTGGTCAGAAGTTTGATTCAGGTTTGTGTATGTGAGTCCCGTCTCCCCTTGGAAGCAGATATAGTTTCAGACGGTATTCTACACGTTATTTTGAACTAACCGTTATAGTATTACTAATCAAGTCAGGTTAGTTCTGTAGCAGTGAGCTAGAGTTTTCCAGTGAATCGAAGACTAAATCTCTGAACGTTTTACACAATCCCTTGTTATGTATCAATCAGCTACCGAATGATGTCCTTGCTGCTATTTTTCATTGTAAATCCATCAGAATTATTTTATTTTATGATTAGCGCTGACAAGGTAAGTACAACATGTTGATTTATTTTTATTACTTCTGACTAACATTAGTATGTAAGTTCGACACTAATAGGTGGATTATACGGGTAAATTAAATCACTATGCTGTTATTCCAGATCTTATACTAATGTAGACGAACATTGATAACGTTTATTTTTGACTATGTGAATAATGTTGGTAGTTTAACAAATAGCCTTAAACAAAATCAATCTTATATTGGGTCAAGTTAATGTGGTACATACTCCTATATTGTATTATTCCGACGTAATATTATTTCACTTATAAGGTGTTGAGTTGTTACTAGTAATTTAGATCCAGTTGTCATTCTAGATAGCATATCGTAATTTCAGTTTGACTGCATCACTTTTATTCTTTACCTTTTCTAATAAAAAATGATAGGATGATAGCTATTATTTTATATTTTTACTTGTAGCCTTTGAACCATATTTTACGATAATCTGGCGTCTGTCAAGAAAATATTTAAAATTAGAGAGCACTGAACAATGGATTCCTTGTAGTTTCCAACTATTTAACAATGCTCATTCATTACCCCCCCCCACATATACAGGCGTGAACCTTATAAACTTCATGTTTTGAGGCCAATGAAATAACCTAATACGACAGAGCATAATTGTTAACTCTTTTCTTGCCTTATCAATTTGTAACCCTAATCAATGTCTTCTATTAATACACCAATATCTCATTCCTAAAAATTGATTACTTTCGCAGATTGCCGCTTTCTAGATTGACATCATTTCTTGATGAAAACTAAATTTAATTTTTATATATCTTCACAATCAATATGATGAAAAATATAAATATTTTCCATAAAACATCTATTGCTTTGATATTGATTTAAATATGATTCGCGAATTATTTCCAAAAAGAGGTTTGACTATAATATCCAAATTATATTTTTAGTGCATATTATGTTTATCTAAATAAATATAAATTTAGTTTAAGTGGTTTTGTGGGGAATAGTTTAACTTTCAAGTTATATTTATCACAGATTGTTGTTAGTCGGACTATTATTAAACATCACGAAGTACTAAACTAATGTTTCGTTCCAGCATAGGACTGTTCAGCAGTTGGCAAATAAGTAAATAATTTCAATAGTTGAGATCATGAGTCAATTGAAGCTAGATCCCTATGGAAAACCTGGAAGCACCGAACGGCCTTTTCGTTCTATTGTGAGACTCCTCAGCAGTGCGCATCTACGATCCCACTTCCCGAGACTCGAACCGAGGATCTATCAGTCTCTAAAGCGAGCACTTAACCACTAGACCACTGATCCGGCATCCAATAGTGTTAATGTCTAACTTCAACTAATTCACGACACATCCATCATTGTGAAACTGATAAGTTTCGGGTTCGAATCTCACAAAGCAGGATCATGGGTGGGCACTACTGAGGAGTCCCACAAAAGGACGAAACGGCCATCCAGTGCTTCCAGGTTTTTCCATGGTGGTCTTGCTTCAATTGACTCATGATCTCAAATTACAATAATCTCCACAAAAAGCATTTTTGACATAAATAAGTAAATAAATAAATTTATTGAATGAAAGAATTAAATACTACCCTTTTGTAGACAAATCAACACTGATTACTTTTATTATTATTTTCAATTTATTTGTAGAAACAGTGATCAGTTAAACGGTATTGGAAGACATTCATCCAATCATATAACTACATACAGTAATATTCCTAATCATAATTCCAATTCATTTGTAAAAATTTCTCATCATCATACACCAATTACTACATCCTTAATTTATTCCTCTACTCCTTCTTCTACCATTTATACAAATGAACCATTAGTACATCGAAATTCTCATCCAGACCAACGTTATTCATCATATTGTCAAGGTAAACCTTCAACATTCTTTTGTTTATGTACATAGTTTATAGGTTTATTTTGTTTAATATTAAGTCTTTACATTATTTCTTTTATTTTCTCACATGTATAAAGTTTGTTGTTTTAATATGCTTTTATTAATCACCTGTTCTCCTGTATATACATAAACGATAATTTACTTCTTTCCCATCCATATTCTCTAATACCATTATTTCTCTATCATCCTCATTTACAAAGAGAAAAAAACTAATGAAGAAATTCAGTGAATCTGTGAAGAGAAAACTAGTGAATATAAAAAGAAGAAGAAAAGAAATCTTCATTATTACTTAATGTTAAATAAAAATATAAAAAAAGAAATGAAACAAGGAACATAGCAACAATACAATCATACAAACAAGCAAATAAACAAACAAATTACCACTTATAATATTTCATTGATAAATTATGATAGTATTAAAAAAGAAAATAAAACATTAGATCATTATTATTTTTAAAGCGGAAAGTGAAAAGAAACAGGCAAATGATAGAATAAGCAATATTTTTGTGGTTATTACCAAAAACAGAAATAGTTGGTTGGAATGTTTACCTACAACAGAGATGGAATACAATATATAAATATATATATATATATATATATATATATATGTATAAATGAACATGAAAATTTTACCTTGATAATGCCTTTCTATCTCATTTTTTTTTAAAAAAAAACGAAGAATGCATTTCTATATGTCAGTTGCATAATGATTAGAACTTATAAAATAGCTAAATTGGACTGATTTATTTTGTTTATTAACTTGATTATATATATTTATATTATATGATACATTTTATCATTAGTATGAATATCATATTAGTTATTAACTATATGATGAGTAACTATCGTGATTTAGAGTTTTATTCAATCGATATTTTCATGAATAGATAATTTTTTTATCGAATTAAAAACGAATATTGTTTTATGAAATAGATTAAATAAACTAGGTTAAATATCTTAGTTTATTTATTTATTTATTTTAACACATAGATATCGGTACAAGAAGGCACCAAATACATATGCGCCACACAAATATCATTTGATATGTGTGAGGGCTGTGATACTGCTCGGGTGCCCAAACCGAAGCAGGTGGTTTTCTTAGGGGGCCACATCCCGAGCCTTTGACCTGAAGATCTGATCCACAAGGCAGTGGAGCATCGTGAGGAGATGCAGTCCCATGGTAGCCGGTGACCAACGATTGGTTCATACGCCATTTATTCCCGCAGGATACTGGAGCCCATGTGCACCATTGATTTGGGATCCGGTTATAGCGCCGGACATTCGCTTTTCGTCCTCTCATTTTCGTAAACAACACCCCCGCCACGAGAAGGCAGTGAGTAGGACTTCCCTGGCAGGGGCTGTATACGCGTGGCCATATGAGAGCATTTCGAGAGGAGGAGCGGACTCCCCCCACTCTCGGCCATACCAGGGCATTTGGGGGCAATATCTTAGTTAATCATTCCAATGTTTCCTGTGAAGTTAGAAATCACTACTCTAGATCTTTTTTTTTTTTGAAATTTTACTATAGATTAATTCTAGTTGTAAAGATAAAATCAAGTTCGATATACATAGAACAATATATATAATTAAGTGAATTATTACTTAGCCCTTGATCATCGGTTACATTTAAATAGAAATTACTAACAAGGATTTCATTGTTCAAATTGGTATTATTGTATCAATGTTTTCAATGGATCCTTATTCACGTTAAATAAAGATATTCTAATAGAAATGGATCAGTTTTAGATTGATACTTTTCTATTCGATATATATAAAGTGTACCAATGATAATAGATTGAGTATGATTATAGTGAAGATTAACAAGTGAGTTCCATAGTAATAAGAATGAAATCAGTAAAAGTTTTCATTTAGCAGATTTTCAATCTATTTTTATAAAACATTTAACTTTCCTCCGAAAAAATTTGAATTTATTGCCCAACAATTACCTGATACAATAAATTTGAAGAAAGCTCATATCTGTCATAACTTACTGATGATATTGTTAAGTTAGACTTGTGTAGATACGAGTTATGTATTTTTTCCAAAGTCATTGACACCTTTACTGCCTCTAAATAATGAAGACTATATATATGTTTTTGATGATTAAAGATGTTGAATGAATCATCCAGTGGTGGTCTGGCTTAGAATAACTCATGAATTCAACTATCAAAATTACTACAATCTCCACAAATCCCCATCATAATAATAATCATGTGCTCACAAGTGACTAGCTTCAAATAGGATTTTATGAAGTCCTAGAGAGAAGCCGCGATCAGTGGAGATCAATCCGTTTTGGGTGAGAGATAGTTATCCACCTCAGACAATGTATGGAGGGTTAAGCAAGATCATGGATAAATTGAAGTTGAAAATTAACAACGTTGGATGTCAGTTCAGCGGTCTACAGGTCAAGTGTTCACGTGTGGAATCTAAAGTCTCAGTTTCGAGTCCCTTTGGTGCGGCGTCGTAGACTCGCCCTGCTGAGAAGTTCCATACTAGGACAAAACGATAGTCCAATGCTTCTAAGTTTTCAATGGTGGTGTAGCTTAGATCAATTATATCTTAATAATAACAATAACTATTATTATGTTCACTTGGTGTTGTTTTACTCGTATGTTCCCATTCTTATTTAGGACTGTGATTGATCAATCTCTTGTTAGCATATGTGCATCCTGTGCGGACTGCCTCGATATAACTTTAAGTCACAAGCTTTTTTAAGCAAAGATGGATAGTGGCTAGCAATGAAATCCTAAATAACAATGGGAAGATACAAGTAAGACAACACCAATTGAATTTAAACTTCATCCTATTGCACAAGCTAGTGGCTATTAGGACTCAGTAGCTAAGTGGATAACACGATGGCGTTTGAAGCGAACGGTACTGGGTTCGAGCCTTGGAGCAAATACAGGTATGTCCAGATAACGAGTCCCAAATAGAACGAAACGCTCATCCTGAATTCCACTGCTAGCCACTATCAATCTTGACTGTTATTATGGTTGAAAACTAAATTATTTATAGAAATTGGGACTTAATAATCTACCATATCATTTAAATTGTTATGTAAGTAGTTAATCATCTGTAGATGTGGTAAACTAGAAGTGCGGATCAAGGAACATCAAAAAGAAATAAACAGTAATGTTGTAAATGGACATGTATATTTATTTGCTTGAATTCGAAAAAGGATTTTTAAGGGGAATTTACTTAATTTTATGTAAAATATGTTTTACTAAGTAAATATTGTTCTTGTCAACGGTATACAATTTTACAGTAATATTTATCACAAACTGAATTTGACTGAAGGGCTGTTTGAAAACTCTTATAGAATCATTCAGGTATACATACTCTTAACTTCAAATAAGATCGTATCTAGCGTTAAACATAATCCTTTTAAATAACTTACCCAAAAACTTAATTCATGATGTACATTATTATTTATGAGTTACTATTTTACATTCAACTTGATTGATCATATAATCCATAACATTTTAATAGAACTTTAAAAACTTGATCTGGTAATTGAACACTAGTGATATGATTTGATTATTTCCAAATTATAAATGGAACATTCTTTTATACTTTTTAAAGAATAATATTTATCATAAACTTTCATTAGCTAATGGAAAATTAAACCAGTTTTCATTAATTTTCAATGTTTTATCAATTGTTCTCATTTCCATGGTTATGAAAATTACTTTTCTAGGATATACAAAGGTCTCTTCATAAAATATTACTTCATTTAATAATAACAACTAACGATTTAAATAGTCAAGATCATGAGTCAATTGAAGTTAGACCATCATAGAAAACCTGGAAGAGCGAGATTAATAGGTCCTGGATTAAAATCTTGAAAGTCTTGATTATGGATGTGCAATTCCTCTGAAGAGTCCCATACTAGAATGAAACGACCGTCCAATGTTTCCAGCTTTTCCATAGTGGTC